AATTAGATTTTATTAAAATTAAAATGTTTATTCCTCAAAAGACAATGTTAAGACAATGCAAACACAAGCTGCAGACTGGTAGAAATATTTGCAAAACACATTTCTGACAAAGAACTTGTATATAAAATATACTCAGAACTCAAAAAACTCATTGACAAGAAAATGATTCAGTTAATAAATGCACAAAAGATCTAACCGGCCACCTCATCGAAGGCATATAAGCACACAAAAAGATGCTGAACATTGCTTAAAATTAGAGGACTACAAATTAAAACAATGAGAGATACCATTATACACTTATTTGAATGAATAAAATAAATGGACAATATCAAATTCTGATGAGAATGTAGAACAACAGAAACTTAACATTCATTCCTGGTGGGAATGCAAAATCTTACAGCCACTTTGTAAGATAGTCTGGCAGTTTCTCCCAAGGCTACAATATAATGTTCTCAGAAATTCCAGCATTCATATTCCTAGGTATTTCCCCAATTTGGTTGAAAACTTATGTCCACATAAAAAACTGCATGTGAGTATTAATAGAAGCTTTATTCATAATAACCAAAAGCCAGAAGCAACCAATATGTGCTTTGATAGGCAAAAAGTATTTATAAAATAGTGGTATATTCATACAATGGAATATTGTTCACTGATAAAAAGAAATGAGCTATCAAGCTACAAACAGCTGTGGAAGAACCTTAAATTACTGAGTGACAGAGCCAGTCTGAAAAGTCCCCATGCTGTATTATTCTGATTATATGATTTTCTAGGAAAGGGAAAACTATACATAGTAAAAAGATCAGTGATTACTCGGGATTCTGGGGAAGAAAAGAGGGATGAATAGGTGAAACATAGGATAGTTTGGAGTAGTGAAGGCTATTCTACATGATACTGTCAGTGCTAAATAAGTGACAATATGCATTTGTCAATGCATACTGCATTATACATTGCACATTTCTATGCATTTGTACATATAAATGTATAATACAACATAATAAGTGAACCTTAACATAAATAAATTTAAAAATATCATTGAGGAGTATGAGGGACACCAGTAAAGAATACAGAACTAATTTAACTGTATTAAAAATATATGAAACAATTTCACTGAATGGGGTGGGGGAAAAGTAAGTTACCTTAGTAACTTTGGAAATGAATGGAATCTGTAAGACTAAAAGCAAAAGGACCCATACACTGTACCCTAGTTGACAAAGATATTTCCTATGGTAGTAGCAGTTAATTATTCTGATACTCTTCTACATGTATACTAGAAGTAAACAATTATATAAATGAGTGGTGGTTAGTAGGAGCCATATTTCTCACTGTTTGGGTGGAAATGTACAGATCAACAAGACATGAAGCTTCAATAATCCATGCAGAAACAGATTCAAGTTAGAGACATTAGTAAGAACTCACGTTCAGCTTAATATAGACAAACATGGAAATATTTATAAATGTATACATATATAGGTTAACATACACACATATATTTTCATTGCTCTGTCCGCTTAGAGGCCCTAAAAGAAATGATACATCAGAAGCAAGGAGTATACCCAGCATTCAGATCTTGCATTCTAATATTCTCCAATAAAAGGAGCCAGAGCTTCTTAGAGATATGGATGGTTCTAGCACTGGAGCAAGAAATATACAAAATAAGCCCCCAGTATCTTAACAGTGTCAGAAAGAAAAGAAGTGCTAAACTAATAATAATCATTATCACAACCACAATGGTGGTACGTAAAAATGACACACAAAATATAACATAATATTCGTGAATCCATACTGATGTAAAAAATGATTGAATGAAATAATAAATGGTAGAGAAGAGATAAATCTCCCATGTAGAAAAATCCAAATAAATTATGTAGACACTCTGGCTCTAGTAACACAACTCCCTATTCCTTAAGTGTGGCTTACACAGAGCTCCTGCCCTCCAAAGAGTATGGTGTAGAAAGGGGACAGAGAGTGAGTTTACAATGGAGAAACTTGCAAAACACTACTTCAGCCAATGAACAAGGTCAACGCCTTAATTTCTTAATTTCTTAATTACATAGAAAGTATGTAACTGATATGAGATGACAAATATGGTATTTCACTTCTGTGGTCTTTCTCCCAAAACTCCAAATCTCATCTGATTGAGACAAACAAATTCCAATAGAGAGATGTCCTGCAATGTATCTGAACAGCACTCCTCAAAACTCTGAAGGTCATTGAAAACAAGGACATTCTGAGAAGCTGTCTACAGCCAAAAAGAGCCTAAGAAGACATGACAGCTAAATATAATGTGTTACCCTTGATGGTATCTTAAAACAGAAAAAGCACACTTGGTAAAAACTAAAGAAGTTTAAATCAACTCTGGACTTTAGTCAATAATAATGTATCAATGTTGGTTCGTTATTTTAACAAATATACCATACTAATGTAAGATGTTAATAAGAGAGGAGACTGTGTATAAGGATGGAATACATGGGAACTCCTACTATCTGCTTAACTTTTCTGTAAATTTAAAACAGTTTTTTAAAAATAAAATGAATGTATGAATTATAATAGTAAATCATGGTCATACTTTAGAATATTTGAAAGTCATTTCTTTTTTTTTTTTTTTTTTTGAGACAGAGTCTCGCTCTGTTGCCCAGGCTGGAGTGCAGTGGCCCAGTCTTGGCTCACTGTAACCTCCCCCTCCCAGATTCAAGCTATTGTCCTGCCTTGGCCTCCTGAGTAGCTGGGACTATAGGTGCACACCACCACACCTGGCTAATTTTTGTATTGGGGTTTCACCATGTTGGCCAGGATGGTCTCGAACTCCTGACCTTAGGTGATCCACCTGCCTTGGCCTCCTAAAGTGCTGGGATTATAGGCATGAGCCACCGTTCCCAGTCTTGGCAGTTATTTCTTTTTAAAGTATATTACTTGGCAGAAGATATACTCATACTATAATTCTAAATGAAATAGGAAGCACAATACTTTAAAAGTACAGATACTCTTAGACTTATGATAGGATTATGTCCTTAAACACTTTGTAAGTTGAAATTACCATTAAGTCAAAAATGCATTTAATTCAGCTAACCTATTGAACATCATAATTTAGCCTTGCCTACCTTAAACTTGCCCAGAACACATATGTTGTTACCCCACCATAGGGCAAAAATCATCTGGCAACACAACGTACTGTGGAGTATCATTGTTTACCCTCTTGATTGTGTGGCTGACTGGAAGCTATGGCTCCCTGCCGCTGCCCAGCAATGAGACAGAGTATCCTACTGCATACACGAAAATATCAAAATTCAAAATTTGAAGTGTGGTTTTACTGAATGCGTATTGCTTTTGCCCCATCTTAAAGTTGATAAATCGTAAGTGGATCCATGGTAAGTTGGGGACCATCTGCATAAAGCTAATCATAAAAAATTAGCAGAATACATAAAAATAAACACTAAAAAATACATCCTAAGGATAGGAATCCTATTAACCTCATATTAACATTATGAGGAAGTAAATAAAAATCACCTGCAGCTATGACTTCATGCAAAAATTTACAATGTAATCAAGTCTATTAAAATATCAAAAATATCAAAAAAATCAGATAAGATATCCCATTTTGCATGTCTCTAACTTCCTACATCTTTCAAAGAGGAGGAAAATTTTTTTTTTAAGTTTAGCATATTTCACAAGTATTCTAAACTGAGTTGCTGAAGCAGTATAAAAATAATTAAACATTATTGCTATTTCACACAGGAATAGCTACGACTTCAGGTGATTTTAATTTTCTTCCTTATAATGTTTTACTTTTAAAAAATAATTATTACAAAACTGTATTACTTTTAATATAAGGAAACAATCCACCATTTTAAAAACATAAGGTTGTCTGGATCCCCCTCAACACTCCATTTTTATCTCCATGAGAATGGGAGGACATGTAACAAAATATCCAAAATCTTTGGCTGACAAGAATATCTTTAAAATTCTTTCCAATTCTCAGATAATGAGAACTGCATAAATTTTAACCAAAATCCAGATCCCAGCTATGCATTTGGTAGGGAACCAGAATATTTAATTGTCACATGACTGCCACATACACAGGTTAACATAATTTTGTGTCAGGTATCCTCATAATTTACCAGTGTCCTAACAGACTAGCAATGAGCCCAACTTATTGTTACACAGTATACATGCAGTGTATTTTTGTTATAAAGTGTGTCTGCACATCATTGTTTGTTTTAAATGTCCATCTGATTGAAACAGGAGGCATGTTCTTGTGTGCAATATGGTACTCATGCTTAGGATGGACAGAGGTTTCAATAGGCGTTAGTAAGCATGTGTAACATAAAGGATGATTGTCAATTATGCACAAGTTTGTACAATTTGCAACAGTTATCTTATTGGCTTGTTTGCTTTAATTTTAAGATTAGTCCATTTGCATATTACCTGAAGGCTCCTATCAGGAACTATTGAAGAGATTTAGAGGATAAAATCTTAAAAGAAAGACTTTCTGGAAGTTGAACAAATAGGAACTTAAGCATTTCTAAAAGTTAAAGTATCTCTAATATGTAAATACATAATAGTCCTAACCATATTAATTTGTGACTATACAGGAAACAGGTAGGATAAGATTATTAATGTATAAAGGTTATGAAATGTAGTGAAATTCTACATTAATCTACAAGGGGAAAAAAATGGAGAGAAACAAACTAGACTGCAGATATTTGACAAGTAGGTTACTATTCCCGGCTCTGCTGCCACATTCTATTCTTGAATCATTTTCACTCAACTAATTTACTCATATGTGAAAATAACATCACAACATAAATTAATGATTTAAAAAATTGAGATAGACAGGCCTAAGTGTTTCTGAAAAAAATATACCAACCATCTTCATAGCCATAAGTTTCCATTTTGTCCAACTTAACTTTAAGAGTATAAATCAAAAAACAAATCAAGAAGCTAAAATCAAAGTATTAAAATCAGGACACAGCACCAACTTTGTTTTCTTTTCCAGCCTTTACCTTCCGGCTCGTTTTTGATGAGCTCTTCCATTTTCCTCTGCTTCAAGGTGTCAACAACATCAGCTAAACTGCCCTTGCGCCGTTCAGGAGTTCCCAGGGCCGTACTAGACAAGGACTCGCCACTCTGTCGCCCACCTTCTTCTGCCTTCTGAGGTGAGGTAGATGAGTTGTGTGGGGCAAATGAAGACATAACTTTATTGCCATCAACTTCCTGAAAGAGAAAGCAAAAGGACAAATAATTGTTTAAAATTCAGAAACTTAAAAAAAAAAATTGGTTATATGGCTTATTCAGCTGAAAGATTGAAAAGTGAAATGTCACGCTGCAAGAGGCAGAAAAACAAAGAAACTTCAAAAAAGAATAAATTAAGTTTGCATGGTAGGACTAGAGTAAGTCAAAGATCTGTTCAAAGGAGAAATCAAAATTTGGAGATTCTCTCCTTTAAACTGAGTATAAATGACAATATAGTCTTATATGAAGCCTATATTATTAGATTTGTTTATTTCCTGCTTTTGTTTGAGAGTCTCAGATTTTCCTATGGGTATTAAATGTAGTGATCATTTGTGTTAAACTTCCTGACTTTGTAATATTTAAACAAATATCATTACACACAATTTATTTTCATTTTCAGTAGCTGCCTCTTCTTGATAAATACTCTAATTAAAGTTTTAATTTTCTACCTCCCTCTCCTACTTTTAAGAAAGCATCCATCACATGGGTTATTTGACATCAGACAAGAATATTCCAAGTTCAATTTTGCCAATGCTGAAGACATTTTCAATTTCATTTGTTATATGAAGCACAGTTTCTGTCAATACTCTTTGCTATTTTGTATTTTAATCCTCATTTGCCCTATAAAATAAGGTCTGTTGCAGTGTTTGCTTCTTCATGATCACGTGAGTATGCGAATGAAAATAATTTATTGTACGGTTCTAAAATGTAAATATCTTTTTATAGTCTATTGTCATCATTTTCTCACATATTCTAGCACAACTCTGGTAATTTGTATAATATTTGGGGAATATTTTGTATAAAAGATACTAAGCTGATGTTTTAGAAATTATCAGGAGGAGTGATAATTAAATGATAAAGAAAAATTAATTTTCCTAAAGATTTTCCTTGTATAGTCTCTTACTTCCATAATCCTTTACCTTCCATAAAACAGACATCTTAAACATAAAGCTGTATCCTAAGATCTTTGAGTCTCACCCTATTTCTTAATTCTGCAACAGAAATATTTCTTAATTCTGCAACATTAAAAGTTTGCATTAAAATATATTTGAATGTGTGCTTATTTAATATTCAGGATATTAGTTTATACCTGTTTGCACATTTCTTCTCTACCTATTTAAGACACATTAATACAATCTGTTGACTTCCAAAAAGTAACAAATCACACTGATTGATACGCAATGATTTTAAGGTTAATGCAATATTTTTGACTAGCTTAAAAATATGCTAACATACTTGGTTAAAAAACCATCAGTGTAATTTAAAAAAATAGATTAAAAATAGAGATGTCAACACAAACATAATCTGTTAATATGATTTGTTTTTTTTTTTTTTTTTTTTTTTTGCTGTTAGCAGATATTAGTGAGTACAGGGACAACAGGCTATGCTACAAACATCAGTTTGTTGCATGTGGCTGAGGCATTTGGGGAAGGCAAAAAAAATGCGCAACAGAATCTTCCAAATTATAATTCTAAATCTCAAATGGCTTTCATTTCTCACAAACATTACAGAATATGCCTCTGACTAGCACTATGCCTTGAGTGAATATTTTATGGACAAAGTAGCTTATAACACACTTGGATTTAGAAATCAATGTACAAAATGTAACAATTACAAGCTCCTACAGGTTAAGTGAAAGTACACTTCTGGCATTATTAAAACCTACATATATATACAAACACATAAACACACACATACACATACACACCCCTAAAAAGAGCAATCACAAATTCATTCAGTAAATTAATAGGAATGTTTTTATGAATGGCCCATAACACACATTAGCTTAGTTTCATGTGCAAACCAGAATATTGCAAAACATCTGTACTAATTTTCCACAGATCTTTCTTCTCATTTCTTTCCAGGACCAAAAGCAGAAACATCCCAATGTTAGCTTCACTTTGAACCTTTCTCTATCTGTACTCTGCTTTCACATTATATGATGACAAACAATAATTGGGGAGCTGACCTTTAATTGTCATAATTGAACATTACAATGAAATCAAGTCTATTAAAATATCAAAAATGTCAAAAAATATCCAGATAAGGTATCCCATTTTGCATACCTCTAACTTTCTACACCTTTCAAAGAAGAAAAAAATGTATGTTTTAAAGTTTAGTATATTTCACAAGTATTCTAAGCTCAGTTGCTGCAGCGGTATAAAAATAAATTAATTAAACATTATTGCTATTTCACACAGGAATATTTATCTTATCAGTATTTCACCTGCCTGATTACATTTCAGCCTCTGGCACTGTTAATCTCCTTAACAGTTTTATGTAGTTAACAGCTGTTTGAGCCTGGGACTCCATTGTTCATTTGCATGGTGAATAGCTTGTTAAGGAGTGGTAGCACAGTCTACAGTCAAGGAAATCCTATCTTTTTCAGAGCTCCTTCCCTGGGATTGCATTTGTCATACGTGAAGTAATGATTCCATGTTTCACTTCATTTTGCTGGCAGGTGAAATCAAGAGAACCAGCTAACATAGGCATAAGTGGTCCAGACCAGCAATATCTATTTAATCAAGTTTTGTGAATTCTAAGGGCATACCAGTACTTCGCAAACAAGTTCCCAGAACTGTGATATACGACCTCTAAAGTCTAATCATAAAAGAGGTTTCTCAATGTTCAGAATAAAGTTGATAATCTTCCTTTGTTATTTTTGAACAAGGTTTGCTTAATCTTACCCCTTTTGTTATCTTTGCAACCAATAGAAAAAGAGTCTGCCTAACATATGTATTCTCATTAAAATATCTTTTTAAAACTGAATTCTTGTTAATTCATTTTAAAGACAGAATATTGCTATGAAGACGTTGAAAGAAATATTATTTCCACCTTAATATTTAAACTCTAATTTACATGATGAGATAATTAAGAAGAATTAACTCATTTTATAAAAGAAGAGATTATATGAAATAACCAGATGCATGTGTTTCTTTTATTATTCAAATGACATTTCATCCTTGACTTCTGGCCTTAAGAAACATATTATTATGCTTACTTCTTGGCCTTATAAACTGAAATTAAGCTCATGCTTAGAAACATTACATTAATATTCCAATCTATCAGACAGTAATTGATAAGAATGACAGCAAATATGTATTGAATACTTTGTGTTAGGCACGGCTTAAAGTGCTTTACATGTATTAACTCAATTCTCATGGCAAGCCTAATTATAATTTCCATTTCATAGCTGGATAAACTGAGGCGGAGAGACTGAAGCACAGTATATGCTGAAAGTCACATGACTGCCAAAAGGTAGCGTGAAAAATCAGCCCCAACCTATTGGGCTCCAGAGCTCTCATGGACAAAGCCCTTATGGACAAAGTAGCTTATAGCATACTTGGATTCAGAAATCAATGTTATTATACCTCTTTCTTTTTTTTTTTTTTTTTTTTTGTTTTTTTGAGACGGAGTCTCGCTCTGTCGCCCAGGCTGGAGTGCAGTGGCGCGATCTCGGCTCACTGCAAGCTCCGCCTCCTGGGTTTACGCCATTCTCCTGCCTCAGCCTCCTGAGTAGCTGGGACTACAGGCGCCCGCCACCGCGCCCGGCTAATTTTTTGTATTTTTAGTAGAGACGGGGTTTCACCGTGGTCTCGATCTCCTGACCTTGTGATCCGCCCGCCTCGGCCTCCCAAAGTGCTGGGATTACAGGTGTGAGCCACCGCGCCCGGCCTATACCTCTTTCATCTATGTTTGTATCTATCAATGTTATGGGTGAACAAGACATTTGTCTTTTTAATAAGTATGAAAATGAGAGGTTTCCACTGCAATATGTTCAAGCCCTAAAGAAAACAAATGAGCTATATGTGTTTAAATTAATTAAATCAACCACATTCTAGACTTATAAAGCTCTGCCCATCCAAATATCCACTGGTTTATATCATATTTTTTAAAATAAATTTTAATGTTTAAAGAATTATTTAAACCAAATATATAGATTTATATTTCTACATGACTAATCAGAGTAATGGTACTCAGTAGTCTGTTTTTGTAACTATCTTTATAAAATTTGTGAGCATCTCCAGCATTCTTTCCAGTAAAATTAAGTTTTGAATTTAGAAAAAAGCTAGTACAGAAGATCTGGACTATCATCAATTAGATTCTCATGAATGCATGTCCAGTAATTTGGGTACTGTACAGAGATAGCATAAGATGAACTACAGATACACAGAGAGGATGCTTTGGTGCTCAATAAGTTTTGATACAGTCATGTTCCTCTTCCAGCAGCGGGTCGTGATTTATAAAATATTACCAGGATTGCTGGGCATGGTAGCTCACACCTGTAATCCCAGCACTTTGGGAGACCAAGGTGGGCAGATCACAAGGTCAAGAGATCGAGACCACCCTGGCCAACATGGTGAAACCCCATCTCTACTATAAATACAAAAATTAGCTGGGCATGGTGGCACATGCCTGTAATCCCAGCTACTCTGGACACTGAGGCAGGGGAATCGCTGGAACCCACAAGGCGGAGATTGCAGAGAGCCAAGATCGCGCCACTGCACTCCAGCCTGGCAATAGAGCTAGACTCCGTTTACCCAAAAAAAAAAAAAAAGAAGAAGAAGAAATCACCAGGACTAGGTAAAGCAAAACTTCAAAAAATATCTTAAAAGCTATAATATTTGACTGTTCCTTAAATTCCATCAAAAGAGTATAAAAATATACCTTATTTCAAATGTTGAAACTAAATTTCCTACTTGTAATCTCTTCTGCCAAATTAGGAGTTACCAAATTGAATTTAGTTATAGAAAAAATGTAACCATTGTCTAAAGAGCTCTTCCAATTATTTTTCGAGTTATCTTGATTAAAATAATTTTTCATAAAATGTCTGCATGAAACCCTAAACCACACTTACTCCTTTGGGACTACTGATCCCTTGAAGATAGCTATAAATGCTATTTTAAACACATATGCACATGCATAAACACACACTCATGTGATTGCACACATAATTTCATAAAGTTTTACAGAGTTAACTT